TCATATATAAGGGCCTATATGGTTCTTTATTATTTGACCTGCTAAAATTTCAAAAATAATTGATGCCTGTTTATTATGTTTGGATCTTGAAATGAGTAGAGTCACTGTTTCGTGCCCAAATTTTTTTATAGCAATTTCATTTCGTTTTGTTTGCAAACATATGGTATTTTACTTTGTGTATGCATGCCAGAATGAGTTACACTCATATATAAGGGCCTACATGGTTCTTAATTCTTTGGCCTGCTGAAATTCCAAGCGTAACTGATGCCAACGTATTATGTTTGGAGCTTGAAGATGGTGGAGTCAATGTTTCTTCCCCAGATTTTTTTATAGCAATTTTATTTCGGTTTTTTGTAAAGCGTATGGTTTTTAACCTTACGTATATATGATAGGATTTTGATTATTTGGCTTGCTGAAATTTCAAGTTAACTGATGCCTATGTATTTTGTTTGGAAATGTGTGGAGTCAATGTTTCTTGCCCAGAATTATTTATAGCAATTTCATTTTTTTTTTGTTGCAAACATATGGCTTTTGACTCAGTGTATATATAGTAGCATGACTTACACTCATATTTTAGGGCCTACATGGTTCTTGACTAATTGACCTTCTGAAATTCCACGGATAAGTGATGCCTATCTATTATGTTTGGTACTTGAAATGAGTGGAGTCATTATTTTTGGCTCAAATTTTTTTACCGCAATTTCATTTCGTTTTTCTTTTCAATCATATGGTTTTTGGCCTTGTGTATGTATGGTAGCATGACTTACACTCATATATAAGGGCCTACATGGTTCTTGATTATTTGACCTGCTGCAATTCCAAAGATACGTGATGCCTATGCATTATGTTTGAAGCTTGAAATGAGTGGAGTCAATGTTTCTTGCCCAGATTTTTTTATAGCAATTTCATTTCGTTTTTGTAGCAAACAAATGGTTTTGACCTTGTGTGTGTGTATGTTAGCGTGACTTACACTCATATTTCAGGTCCTACATGGTTCTTGATTATTTGGCCTTCTAAAGTTCCAAGGGTAACTGATGCCAATGTATCATTTTTGGAGCATGAAATGAGTGGAGTCAATGTTTCTTACCCATATTTTTTTATTGCTATTTCATTTCGTTTTTTCTGAAAACATATCGTTTTTTTCCCTACGTATATATGGTAGCGTGACTTACACTCATATTTAAGGGTCTACATGGTTCTTGATTTTTTGGCTTCTGAAATTCCATGGGTAACTGATGCCAATGTATTATGTTTGGAGCTTGAAATGAGTGGAGTCAATGTTTCTTGCCCAGATTTTGTTTTAACAATTTCATTTAGTTTTTTTAGCAAACTTATGGTTTCTGACCCTATGTAAATATGGCAGCATGAGTTACACTCATATTTAAGGGCCTACTTGGTTCTTTATTATTTGGCCTTCTGAAGTTCCAAGGGTAACTGATGCCTATGTATTATGTTTGGAGCTTGAAATGAGTTGAGTCAATATTTCTTTCCCAGATTTTTTTTAAAGCAATTTCCTTTCTTTTTTTTTGCTAAGCATATGGTTTTTGACCCTATCTATAAATGGTTGTGTGACTTACACTCATATGTAAGGGCCTACATGGTTCTTGATTATTTGACCTGCTGAAATTCAAAGGATAATTGATGCCTATGTATTATGTTTGGAGCTTGAAATGAGTGGAGTCATTGTTTATTGCCTAGTTTTTTTTATCGCAATTTCATTTTGAATTTTTTGCAAACATATGGTTGTTTAGCCAGTGTATATATTGTAGCGTGACTTACACTCATATTTATGGTTGTACATGGTTCTTGATTATCTGGCCTGCTGAAATTCTCAGGGTAACTGATACCTATGTATTATGTTTGGAGCTTGAATTGAGTGGAGTCAACGTTTCTTGCCTAGATTTATTTATAGCAATTTCTTTTCGTTTTTTTGGCAAACATATGGTTTTGAATAGTCTTATGATGAAGGTTTAAATACATGTATTTTTTAGTTTGCAGTTCACGTTGGGTAAGTCAAAAAACTGAGATGGATCCCACGAATTCAGTCGGTGTGGCATCTAGCACATATCCAAATGTGGGTAGTATTGATGAAATCCCGGATGGTGGTTGTTGCTCACTAAACAAGAGTCACGAAATAGAAGAACCATGTGTAGGAATGATGTTTGGATCAGAGCATGATGCATATGAGCTCTTTAAGTCTTATGCATTCACTAAGGGTTTTGGTGTTCGTAGGGGGAGTACTCATACCAAGAAAGGTAAACGGATCGATAGGGTTTATGTTTGGTGCAAGGAAGGCTTTAAACAAGAAAAACCTAATAAAAGTGGAAAGGTTTATCCTGAGTTAAGGTGTGGGTGCAAGGTTAGGATGTGCATAAGTAGTCAAGAAAAAGACGAGTGGAAAGTGACTAGCGTTTTTATAGATCATAATCATGATCTAGTTAGTCCAAGAAAAGCTCGTCTAATTTACACGCATCGATCATTGTCGAGTGCTACAAAGTCATTGATACATTCAATGAGCTCGGCAATGATTAAGCCTAGACATATTCATGACATATTCATAGAGCAAGCTAGAGGGATCGACAGTGTCCCTTGTACACAAAAGGACATTCAAAATGAAATAGCAAGCGCTAGAAAAAAACTTAGAGGAGAAGATGGAAATTTAATTTGGCAATGGCTTTATAAAAAGAGCCAATCGAACCCTTCATTTTTTTATAGATTGAGATTAGATGAAGATGATCACATTCACAGTATCTTATGGGTTGATTCTACATCTAGAGTTTCCTACCAGTGCTTCTCTGATGTAGTTACCTTTGATACTACATACAAGGCAAATGTGTTTGGTATGCCCTTTGCACCTATACTTGGTGTAAATCACCATTTCAGTACAACTTTCTTTGGGTTTGCACTCATATTTGACGAGAAGATAGAATCATTTATATGGGTATTTGAAAACTGGTTGGAAGCCATGGGTGGACGACAACCAGGCGTTATTCTCATTGATCAAGATCCTACAATTTCATATGCAGTGAGGCAAGTTCTTTACCAAAGTAAGCATCATTATTGTAAGTGGGACATATTTGTGGAGATCAAAGAAAAAGTGTGTCATGTCTTGTGCATGCATCCTTCTTATTCAGATACCTTTAGGAAGTGTGTGGCAAGGCCAACAATTGAAGAATTTGAATCAGCTTGGAAATCAATGATTGATAATTATAACCTGAAAGACAATGAATGGCTAAGTAGGCTTTATGGTTGTCGCATGCAATGAGTTGATGCATACTTGGTTGGCAAGTTCACTGCGGGTATGACTTCTACTCAAAGGAGCGAAGAGATGAATACGATGTTCAAAATGTACTTGACATCCAAAACAAGATTACGTGCATTATTAGAAGTTGTTGCAAAAGTCAACAATAAGAAGGTGCAAAAAGAGAGGGAAAATGACTTGAAAGATATTCAAACTACTCCAGTCTTGTAAACAACCACTTTCATTGAGACATATACATCAAAAATCTATACTCAAAATATTTTAAAGATATTTGGGGAAGAAGTGGCTAATTGCTTTAATTTTATTAGGGAGACAGCTGAAGATAATGGACAGATTGCAACCTTTAAGGCGGCAATCCCAGGGACCGGAACTAAATCCTACTTAGTGAAATTCAATTGCCATGGCAATTCTATTTCTTGCTCTTGTCACTTCTTTGAGAGGATGGGCCTTCTTTGTAGGCATGTCCTGAAGATTTTTATGGTCAAAGATGTGTTTAAAATCCCTCCACAATATATAATGAAGCGTTGGCCCAAGGATGCAAAGAAGGGAGTTTTTCTTGATGACATTGGGGAACAAATTCAAGTAACATCTGAACTACCACGCTCCATTATATATGACGAGGTTATGCGGACAAGTCGATCTTTTGCCAAGCGTGCTTCACAAAATGTAGAGGGTTATGAGTTTATAATGTCCATAATAAAAAATGGAATTCATCAATTTGATGAAATGTTCATGTGCAAGAGAGGTCCACATGATAATGTCATGATCCATGTCAATGAAGATGCCAATTCTGCTAGTTGTTGTAACACACCAAGTGCAAGTAATCATTGTCCTAACGTCCTTGAACCTTCACGAGCATGGACAAAGGGACGACCGGCCACTAAAAGAATGAAAGCTCGGTCTGAGGGATGGAAGATGATAAAAAGGACATGCACAGTATGCAATGACAAAAGGAACTGCCCGTCATTTGTTTCTGATAGGTACAACTACATACCTGTACATTATTTTTATTTGCAATTGTATTATCCTCACTATTGTTGATGTATTTGATTTACACTTGTATTAGCTTCAATTTAATTGCTAACATATGAATTTATCTTCCTCTTACAACGCTAAGGACAAAACACATTGTATACTTCGGATCCATAAGAAGTGAGTTGATGGTAAGATTCACTCGCATTAAATCCATCCATATAGGAATGGTAATGTTTTGTTGTGTTAACACATCATATGCTTATTTGAAAAAAAAATTTTAAAGAACCGTCTAATTGGAATAGTATCCATCAAAATATATTTAAAAATTGAATTCGACTTGCAGCCTGGTTGATTTAAAGTTTGACTTATGATCTGCTGTTGTCATCTTGGCAATAGTTGTTCATCAATCGAGAAGATATGAATTCCTTGAAGGTATTATATTAAAGAATATCTTTTTCATGATCCGTGCAAGTTCTTATCTTTTTTCATGATCCGTGCAAGTTATGATAATTTGTCACTGTCTTTATGTAGATCTTGTGTCGCAGAAAGTGAAAGCAAGTTGCAGATGCTTTAATTCCTTCTCTCTCTTATGCAGAAGATTTTTTTGTTGCATGTGTGTACTTATTGTATGCTGAAGATTTTTCCTTCTCTCTCTAGTGGTTCTTGCTGCTAGTCCATGTGGAACAAATTCTCTCTCTCTCTCTCTTTAATGTCTTTATATGGATAATCTCTCTCTCTCTCTTTAATGTCTTCATATGTAATCTCTCTCTCTCTCTCTCTCTCTCTCTCTCTCTCTCTCTAATATCTTCTTGGTGGTTCCTGATATGGACCTCTTTGCATTTGGATTTCTTAAGCGTGACGGTTTCATAAGATTAATAGGGAAGCAGTTGCTATACATCAAAACCATTTATTAGTTGGTAAACCTTCTAATGAGTTCTACACCTGAGAATTTCATGAATCCTGTTATAAGAGAGAAGAACTACAATGCTTTGGACAACAAGAAGTTGGCTTGCATTTGTGAGAAGTTCAAGGATTCACCAGACAGGTTGTTGGGGAGCTCGGCAAGCCCAAATTTGAAGAAAACTGCACAAAAGAGGTCAATGGATGCGTTGAAGTAATTGAAGGACCCCAGCTGATGAATTTGCCAGGAAGAAGGATGGCCTTAGAGGATTCTTAAAGTTCATTTATTTTTATTTACTTTTTATACCTTTTTGAAATAGATATGTTTTTTGCATGTAGGAACTTTTTGCATTGGACTGCCATTGTTGTTTGTTTATTTCTGGGAAATTTGGAAGCTTTCCTGAGTAGTGTTGACCATGTTTTGGCATGTTATTTCAGTGGTGCAAATTGAACATGCATTTCTTAGTATATGTATGTAATTATTTAGACTTTATAATTATTTAGATTGTCTGAATTGGCATCTACCTATGATCTTGTTTTTTTTCAATAAGATCATTTGTGTGTGTATGTGCTGAAATACTTTTGGAATGAGATTCTTGCTACCCATTCGGCAACATAGTAGCATGCCTTAGAATAGGTATTGAAAAGTACTTGTTCACAAGATCTAGAGTGGCCTTGCTTTGGAGACCCCTTACCAAGTGCTAAAGAGCCTGGACCCTATATAATAAGTAAAGGTACTTCAGAAAGCATTTTTTGCTAGATTAAATTCCCAGGAAGAGATAATCACAGTTTCTAAGCAATGTCATCAAGAACAAACTGGATCATTCAATCAACGAGGACAAAAAAGCCGGTGTCGTTAAAGCTAGTTAGACTTCCTGATTCACTAGTTAGATCAGTGTAGTTGCCATCCACTACTTTCACTCATTAGTTAGTATACATCAAGACCATTTATCAAATGATCAATTTCTATGTAATTTTGAATAAAGTATAGTTTTCTCTTTTATCAAAGTGTAATTTAATGGGTAAAATTGTGAAATGGTCTTGATGTAAACCAATTAATGAGTGTAAGTAAGCAGGGATTCATGACAAGAGTAATTGGTTTGTTGGAACACCAATATTCTAGTGAAGATAACCATGCCATGAGTTTTTTATTATCCTATGAAAAACTGAGTTTTTTATTACCCTATGAAAAACTAAACGTACTTCGTCATTTGAATCATTTGACTGTGAAGTCAGTTGATCCGAGTGGAGATTCAACCAGTTACTCCCCTATAAAAATCACAATTTGTCAATGGAAACTTGGGCAAAAGAGCAACCACAATTCATATGAAGTTCAAGCCAAAGAAAATGGAATTTGAAAATAAATAGATAAAGAAAATATTAGATTTGGAAAGAATGGGGTTGCAAATTAACACTCAAAAAATTAACACCTAATCATTCAGCTTTCACCATTCAAACAACAAAACCACAAACAATTAACACCTACTAATTCAGCTTTCACCATTCAAAGCATTAAAGAAAATCTGATGCTTGAGAGAGAGAGAGAGAGAGATTATTGAATTATATTAATGTACAAATATATTAAAATGAAAATTGTTGATCCATAAACGATAGAGAACAATAAATGTATGCAATTATAAATATATAGATACTATAAAACATATACCCATTCCTTTTACAAAGAAAATGAAGGCAAACATCAATGTCATTAATAAAATTACACATATGTGAAAAAATATTTTAACGTCTGCTTTCTCAAGGACCATAGCAACAGATTTGCGCTTCTCTTTCTCGGTCAGAGATGCATGTACTCTATTGGCAGCACAAGCATCTGGCCTCTGAGATACGAACCTTTTAACCACATGCTTGTTTTTCTTCACCTAGAATTTCATCACACCACTCTAGATAGCCACAACCAGTCTCTTTCTAATGGTTAACACAATAAGATAAATGTATGTTAGATATATGCTTACAATGGAACACCAATATGCTTGTACATAATCTTAATGAAAAAATATTACATATCTTCCAGTTAGAGCATTTATAGAAATGCCTATTGTAGTTATCGTGCGTCTTTGAAAGAAACACGCATCCGACCATATCCTGGTTTGCGTTTACAAAACCTTGGAGGGAATTGGTTGTCGAGATCCATTCAGTTAAAATGATTAGATGCACTCAAATGCCCTATTATCACTCTATCACATCCATGCCAACTATACCTTATCAGAGGGCAAAGGAAACACCAAATAACAAAAAGCAAAGCATGACAGGGATTCATACACTTATCTTAAAAAGGAAACTCAATCTCGAAATCAATATAACGAAATATAACAGATAATAAAAGATAGTATAAAAAATCAGAAAAAAAAATAAAAAAAAAAATATTTTCGCATGCATTCTAATAGTAAGGATTGACATAGGGGTTTATATATCTCTATAAAGCCTACAGTTAATAAGGATACCAAGACTAGATAAAATGAGTCTATATCACAATTTAATCATAGTCGATCTACATATATGTCGCACTTTTTCAGAGTAAAAAAGGTGTACAATAGAGGTACGACAACTACCTCAGGCAATACCTACCTCAATTTTTCAAAACTACTTCCTGAGAAAACTTTTTGGAACAAAGTGGGAAAAAACCTTCAACATGCTTCATCTGTTCACCTTCATATGCAAGTCCGAATTGGAAGCTATTGAATGGAGCTTGTGCTGGTTCATGTGACAACAAAGGCGAAACATACTAAGTTTCATGAAACTCTGCCCATCATCTAAATAAACCAAACATGCAAATAACATTCTTCACATAAAACCAACCACAAGAATAATAAATAAAAACAACCCAACAGGATAGTGATGAAAATTCAACAGTACTCCAAATCCTAGTCCTTCAATAGGCATTTCAAGCACCAAACATTATATATAGGCATCAATTATCTTGGGAATTTGAGCAGGTCAAACAATCAAGAACCATGTAGGCCCTTATATATGAGAGTAAGGCATGCTACCATATGTACACAAGGTCAAAAACCATATGTTTACAAAAACAAACGAAATGAAATTGCTATAAAAAAATCTGGGCAAGAAACATTGACTCCAACTCATTTCAGCAGGCACAATAGTCAAGAACCATGTAGGCCCTTAAATATGAATGTACGTCATGCTACCATATATACACAAGGACAAAAACCATATTTTTGCCAAAAAAACGAAATGAAATTGCTATAAATAAATCTAGGCCAGAAACATTGACTCCACTCATTTCAAGCCCCAAACATAATACATAGGAATCAATTATCGTTGGAATTTGAACAGGTCAAATAATCAAGAACCATGTAGGCCCTTATATATGAGTCTAAGTAATGCTGCCGTATATACACAGGGTCAAAAACCATATGTTTGGAAAAAAAAAGAAATGAAATTGCTATAAAAAAATCTGGGCAAGAAACATTGACTCCATTAATTTCAAGCTCCAAACATAATACATTGGCATAAGTTACCCTTGGAATTGCAGCTTGCCAAATAATCAAGAACCATGTAAACCCTTAAATATGACTGTAAGTCATGCTACCACATAATGACTTACCACATAAACATAGGGTCAAAAACCATATGTATGCAGAAAAAACAAAACGTAATTGTTATAAAAAAATCTGGGCCAAAAACATTGACTCCACTCATTTCAAGCTCCAAACATAATACATATGTATCACTTATCCTTGGAATTTCAGCAGGTCAAATAATCAAGAACCATGTAGGCCCTTATATATGAGTGTAAGTCAGGCTACCACATATACATAGGGTCAAAAAACATATGTTTGCCAAAAACCTGAAACGAAATTGCAATAAAAAAATCTGCACAAGAAACATTGACTCCAAGCATTTCCAAACATAATACATAGGCATCAGTTAACCTTGGAATTTCCGGAATCCAAATAATCAAAATGCTACCATATATACGCAGGGTTAAAAACCATATGTTTGCCAAGAATACGAAGTAAAATTGCCACAAAAAAATGGGCAAGAAACATTGACTCCACTCATTTCAAGATCCAAACATAATACATTGGCATCAGTTACCCTTGGAATTTTAGCAGGCCAAAAAATCAAGAACCATGTAGGCCCTTAAAAATGAGTGTATGTCATGCTACCATATATACACAGGGCCAAAAACCATATGTTTGCTAAAAAAACGAAATGAAATTGCTATAAAAAAATCTGGGCAAGAAACATTGCCTCCACTCTATTCAACCCCTAAACATAATATATACGCATCAATTATCGTTCGAATTTCAGTAGGTCAAATAATCAGGAACCATGTAGGCCCATATATATGAGTGTAAGTCATGCTACCATATATGCACAGGGTCCAAAACCATATCTTTGCCAGAAAAAATGAAATGAAATTGCTAAAAAAAACATCTGGGCAAGAAACATTGACTCCACTCATTTCAAGCTCCAAACATATTACATTGGCGTCAGTTACCCTTGGAATTTTAGCTGGCCAAATAATTAAGAACCATGTAGGCCCTTAAATATGAGTGCAAGTCATGCTACCATATATACACAATGTCAAAAACCATATGTTTGCCAAAAAACAAAATGAAAATTGCTATAAAAAAATCTGAACAAGAAACATTGACTCCACTCATTTCAAGCTCCAAACAAAATAAATAAGCATCAATTATCCTTGGAATTTCAGCAGGTCAAATAATCAAGAACCATGTAGGCCCTTATATATGAGAGTAAGTCATGCTACCATATATACACATGGTCAAAAACCATATGTTTGCCAAAAAAACGAAATGAAATTGCTGTAAGAAAATCTGGGCAAAAAACATTGACTCCACTCATTTCAAGCTCCAAACATAATACATTAGCATAAGTTACCCTTGGGAATTCAGCAGGCCAGATAATCAAGAACCATGTTGGCCCTTAAATATGAGTGTAAGTCATGCTACCATGTATACAAAGGGTCAAAAACCATATGTTTGCCAAAAAAATGAAATGAAATTGCTATAAAAAAATCTGGGCAAGAAACATTGACTCCACTCATTTCAAGCTCCAAACATGATATATCGGCATCACTTATCCATGGAATTTCAGCAGGACAAATAATCAAGAACCATGTAGGCCGTTATATATGAGTGTAAGTCCCGCTACTATATATACACAGGGTCAAAAACCATATGTTTGTCAAAAAAACGAAATGAATTTGTTACAAAAAAATCTGGGCAATAAACAAGGACTCCACTCTTTTCAAGCTCCAAACATAATAGATGGGCATCACTTATCCTTTGAATTTCAGCAGGTCAAATAATCAAGAACCATATAGGCCCTTAAATATGAGTGTAAGTCATGCTACCTTATATACACAGGGACAAAAACCCTATGTTTGCCAAAAAAAGGAAATGAAATTGCTATAAAAAAATTTGGGAGAGAAACATTGACTCCACTTATGTCCAAACTTAATACATCGGCATCAGTTAACCTTGAAATTTAAACAAACAAAATAATCCAAATGCTACCATATATTTGCAAGGTTAAAAGCCATATTTTAGCCAAGAAAACGAAATAAAATTGCTATAAAAAAATCTAGGCAAGAATCATTGACTCCACTCAATTCAAGCTCCAAACATAATACATAGGCTTCAGTTAACCTTGGAATTTCAGCATGCCAACTAATCAATAACTTTGTAGGCCCTTAACTATGAGTGTAAGTCATGCTACCATATATACACATGGTTAAAACCCATATGTTTGCCTAAAAAACGAAATCAAATTTCTACCGTACACTACTTTATCAAACCTAAAGCTGTTATAAGAGTCCTAAGGCATAGGAAAGTTTCATATGAGCATATTAAGATATATTAAATGATCATATTCTGATATATTCGTGCTGCTTTAGCTTGAACTTTCTAACAAAAATTCAAAGAATTGTTTTTAACTCATGCCCCAGCACGATAAAGCAGGTTGTCTGAAATACTTCTGGAGTAGTGTGTTTGTCCCTTCTAGCCTACACATATTAATTAGAATGAATCAAAAGTCTTACAACCACATTGTGATGGTCATATATTTCCATCCAATAAAATCTCACCAATACTTCTTCTCTTAGTTTTTAAGCTTTTGAAGGAGGAAGAGGATGTATTTCTTTAACGATGCCCTTGAACACATATTGGTTTAAATCAGCACTGTCCAGTTTTATATATCAAACAAAGAGAAGGCATTTTCACCAATTTTTACATTTTCACCCATTTTTACAGATACAAAAAGTATTGCAGCGGTATTCCAATACTGGGCAAAAATGCTTTAAAAATGGAAAAAAAAAATCTGGTAAAACATTGCTATAAAAATATCAGGGGAAAAAATGCTACAGAGAAAGAAACTCATATACACAAGGGTTTGCTCAGTATTCAGGATATTCAAGAAATGAAAGAAAAATCTGAGAAAAAATGCAACAAAAACGAAAACAAAAATCTAGGCAAAAAAGGCAATAAAAAAATCCGAGCAAAAAATTCTACAGAGAAAGAACCATGTAGTTGCCTAGATTTTGCTCAGTATTTGGGATATTCAGGGCAAAAATGCTCAGATTGTGTGTTGTTCTTTGGGGCTTTGGGGGTTGTGTACTTGAAATGAGTGAAAACCAAAGGGAGAGATGGAAAATAAAAAACCAGAGAGAGAGGGAAGCGTTAGCATGCCTTGAATGGGAGAGAGCTTTTGTTCGCCCAAGGGCTTGATGAGCAGGGACAAATGGTAGCAGCAGGGTGCGAGATCTGCGGGTCTGCAGAGGTGCCTGTGTATACAGAGCGAGGAGAGGGAATACACAGAGAGCTTGGCCGCTAAGACAGAGCGAGCGGAGAGCACACAGAGACACTTGGACGGCCAAGGTGCGAGATCTGCGGGTCTGGGATGGTGCCTATGTATACAGAGAGATGAGAGGGAATACACAGAAAGCTTGGCCGTTGAGACAGAGCGGGCAAAGAGCACACAGAGACAACTGAAGGGCCAGGGTGTGAGATTTGCGGGTCTGCGGAGATGCCTGTGTATATAGAGAGAGGAGAGGGAAAACGCCGAGAGCTTGGCCGCTGAGACAGAGCGGGCAGAGAGCACACAGAGACCGAGCGGGAGGAGAGAGAAATTACAGAGAGAGCAGAAGGAGAGAGAATATGTAGAGAGATCGAGAGGAGAGAGAGGGAGTACTCTTCCATTCATTATTCTGTAGGTGTCAGTATTCTATCTGACAACAACATTTTAAAATATGCTTCAAACGTATAAAGCAACTACCCCACAGGATCCCATCTTGGCCGTCCATTCCAACGCTTTAAATTAGCGCCCTTGGGCGCATTTGAACTATATAGGAGAGGCGGCCAAGCCCATCCTTTCCCTCTATATATATATATATATATATATATATATGTGTGTGTGTTGTTCATGTGTGTGTT